TTCTGTTTATCTGGATCGCTTTCTTGTAAATAATGTATTTTTTAAATTTAGAAAAGGATGTTATTTCAACTAAAATGCATTGCGATATTCTGCAAAATTTAGTGAAGGCAATATTTTTTTGTATGTTTTCTGTTTTTTAATAGGTAAAATAATATCTTTGACCTAGCATGTAAAAGATTAAAACAACACAGTGTATTATTTTTTTCTATTATAATACAATTTTTCTATTAATTTTTCTCATTCAAAGTGAATAATCCGGCAGTTTCTGACTCTATACAATATTTAGAGTGTGAAGGAAACACTCTAATTAAGCTATTTTTAAAATATAGCATCCATCTTGAATTAAAAAAAAAAGAACAAAACAAAATAATTTACTATTCAAATTGTTTACATAATTTGTATATTTTCTTTAAAATACATTTAGGCTGCAAGGGGGAAAAGTGCAGCCTGTGGGGCCACATAAGGCCTTCCGGCCAATTATTATTCCCACCTTTTTAGGCACGTGGGTCAATGGTTTGCAATAGCTATATTAATTACTGTCTTATATATTATATTAATTAGCAATCCGTTACACAAATATTTAAGTAAACTTATTACCCTCAATTATAAAATATAAGTGGAACATATTATCCTCATTGATTAACAGATGCATTTGTATATTTAATTTTCTGCTAGTAATTTTCAAATCTTATTGGTTTGATCTTAAATAAGAAATTTGAAGTTGAACTGAATTACTATAAAAAAATTTTTAGCAGGTTCTGTTGGAAATTGGCCCAGTATCTTATAAGATCTAAGAGGCTTAGGTCTTCATTTACATAAAGGGCCAGTGCGTCGTAACTCTATTTAAGTGTTTAAATTTAAAGTATATCAATAGATAATCATTTTTAAAACTTCCCTTACTTAATGATATAATAAACCTTCAAATATAAAAATTTAATATACATAATTGATTTTGATCAAATGCTTTACTTGATAATGCAAACAAACATTTTAAAATTGTTTTTGATAATGTTTATGTTCGTAATGTTGTATGCATTTTCCATGTACAGTTAATTTGTGTAAAGAAGGAATTATGAGAATATAATTTAATCATGAAATAAAATTATTTAGCTAAACATTAAAAAATATGTTTTGTTTTACTTATTTATAATCTTTGATTAAGAGTTTTCCACAATCATGTATGTTTTTAATCAACTATTCCTTTCGCAGTTAATGTAGCATCAGTAAACATGGTAAATACATATCCGAGAGTTGGAAAGACCAAGAATTATTTCAGCATTCATTGTTTTTTTTTTCTTTTCTGTTGTGGAGAGCGCATAGACGAGTGTTATATGCACTACACAACTGCACAATTAATGACCAATTGACCATTCTCCCCGGGCTTCTCTCTGACCCCTGTATGCTGCTTATTAAGTAAACAAATACGGTACATAATTGTGTATATAAAAAAGTGAATACATTATAATACTGTATGTGTGTTGAAAATGTACTTTATGAAGTGGCTGATCCAGAGAAAAATATCATGGGTAGGGCATACGTCAATGTATTCCTGTTCATTGTTTAGAAATGCTTTAAAATACGACACTGGTACATTGAAATTTAAATCAAAATTATATTATGTAGCGTGCTCCCCTCTTTCTCCTTTATTTTCCCTTCTCTTTCTGTTGTGGGGGAGGGGGGTCCCGATTCTCCCCCCCCCCCCCCGATCCCCCCCCCCCCCCCCGGATCCACCTCTGCTTTATGTCCAGTATTTATTATCTACAAACTTCTATGGATAAACACAATGATTTAAAAAATAAATGCATGTAAATAAAAATGAGTGAATGTAGAAACTTGACGGTGATTATTACGAGACCGTGCTAGGAGCTTTTAAGAATTACATCATCGAAAATGAGGATGGCTTTCAATTGAATCTTGTCCAGGCGAGATTTAACAAAAGATTAGAAGAAAGAGCTTCTTTTGAAAAAGCAGTTCGAGTTTGGGGCGGCGGATCTGATTAAACTTATACCAAATCGTGCCAACACTGGTTCCCAGTGATGCTCTTTCTCATTTACCTCGGTGATTAAATGAAACACCTACATACAGAACATGTATCTCCGAGTTCCAGCCTACCAGGCACCCATTTATACATTTTGGTGGAGAGAACCATATATTATAAGTTGCTAGCCTAAAGGACACGAAATGTTGTGAGGATTTCCTCCTGAACTCATTCAATTGTTTAAACCGCTGCACCAACTGCTTTCATCGGGGAACAGTGAAATTAAAATTATTAATTAGATGCAAATTGTTTATGAGTTAATTATGATGAGAACGGCGGTACCGCGGGCTATAACCTTTGTTCGGTTCGAGAGGTTTCCATGTAATATCACTATTCTCTGCTTTCATATATATAATAATTAACAATCCTGAAATTTCCAACTATAATAAGAGATAGCTAAGTTGTAGTTTTTTTAAGTTGTATTTATTCATCACTCTTATCAATGTGACGCTTAATAAGAACACACTTCACGACTGAGTAGCATTCTTCAGGTTCTTTATTTCTGTGGAGTAAGTATCCAAAACAAAAGGCAAAGCGAAACAAAACTAAATCTAAAACCCTAAAACAATGAACAAATAAGTTTGTATTAATAACACAGGAGCAGGTAGCTTCACACGTGAAATAACAAATTATTTATCATCAATCAATTAATAAGATCATAGAAGAATACATAAGCCATTAAGACTTGATATAATAAACAAACTATATAAGTACAGTATATAAAAGTAACATTAAAATTAATAGGAAATCATTTACTATCATAATGCATAAAGTATTACACAGTAAAGAGTAATCATAGCACTAAAGTAATCCGTTAACACTTATAGGCAATTCACAAAGTAATATAACAATCACCAAATGGAAATAATAAATGTTCGTCGGATATATCATATTATAATTTATCTAATCGACTCACCCCTAGCAAACACCGGGCAAGCTGACTATAGTCACCAATGACCAATCAATGTACGGTATGGTACTGTACGATATTACAATCTGAATAACTGCAATGGCAATACAAAATATTTGCTAACAATGCACAAAGTAAAATATTAAATGTAATGAATTCATAATTAATAGTTATCATAACAAATTTAATTAGTTAACTCTGATAATAAGATTCACTTAACAAATTTAATTAGTTAACTCTGATAATAAGAACAATAAGACTATAAGTAATAGCAGCATTATTAATCTCATTAACACATTATTCTCTACTAATTAAAACAATCGTATTAACTCATGTAACCAATTCACTCGTGATTGAAATGCATGGCTCCTCGGAGCCAACGGCCAACCATGCCTTAGTTTAAGGAGTAGGTTTTTTAGTTTCATAAAATAACTTCAACTTTCTTTTTTCTCAAAAGTCCAAATCAAAGAGCTCAATTACCTAGCGCATAGAGGCTTTTTCGCATGATGCGCTCTACAAGTCCAACTATTATTTATTATTATTTAAATTAAAATATAATTGTTGATTTACTATTAACATAGGCCTATAACAGGCGCCGCCATCTTGGATTACATTCCATGGGCGCAGCCATCTTGAATTGTTTGTTTATAGTATAGGGCCACCAAGAGTTAAAATATAACTATCATGTAATTAGTATGTCATCATCTACTTCATGGTCAACCTACAGTAGGTGGTCCAACCATGCCTATTATCTTTGTACAGTATCTATAAACTACATAAAGTGCATTATACACTACATGAATCTCAAAAGTCAAACATCTGATAATTAAAATGCAAATCATTGGCAAACTTATGCGAAACAGTTAATTTAAGTTCAGCATTGTATACAAAAAAATAGTTTTGTTAAATTTGCCAAGTAGTCAGCAAAGTCTTTCACTTTAAACCTCTTAAAATATTACCAAGTATAAACTAATAAATGGTAAACACTAACATATTTTATATAATGAACTTATCAAACTAAACAATATAAACTTAAAACTACATACCCTTTCAGAATGACAAAACTTCAGAGATGTGATTACTGTCTTACTCCATTGGAGTTTGCAGCAGTAATGAAACACACTTATGAAAAACTGACTGATTTACCAAACAAACTGCCTGTTTACCAGACACCCTTGATTGGGGTATTAATGCACCCTCTATTAATCCCTTAACATGAGATGAGCTATTTACTTGAGGTGGTATGAATATAGTGATGAGGCATCCTCCCTCATCAGGGTAATAAACCAATTGGGCAACCTTGTGGTTAGTGGTCATTGGGCAGTTTGATGGAAAATGTAGTCCGCAAATGCAATTAGTATAAACAATGGTATGTGGTAGAATGGAACTAATGCTAAAATAGGGACTGCAAAAACACACTGTCACATCAATAATGAACCTTTCCGCTAAGCCCCGCCCCTTGGATATTGTTGCTTAGATTTCACAAAACAGCTGCGTGATAACCCTGATTGGTCCGATGTTAAGTTTGATTGACATTCCGGAAAGGTTCATTTACATTTCAACAAAATGCTAATTTTATCTAACCAAATATCTAACTAACTTTTTCAGAATGGTATAATGAAATTTTCGTTTCAAAATAATGATCTTTCTACTTTTCAATTACTCTACCTGTATATAGGCAAAAAATTCAATACCTTGTGGTATGCCCATATTTCGATATACCATGAGATCGTCATGCTTATATTAGCATAATATGGGAACATCACACAAATTTGTCACATGATAGTGTGCACAGAGCTTATTATCCAAAGTAAACTAGGCCATTAGTATGGATAATGGTTTAGAATCATGTAGACAACCTTTTTCATGACATACATTTAATGGTTACAAACACAATCAATGACATGATATCAATGACATTTAATATTTGACACTTCAAGTACTTAAACAATGTACGATTGTGAAAGATATGTAGCCTACTGTTGTAAAATCTTGAAAACTTTTAATACATCAACTGAATTATTATATTGGTAGTGTGGTATTAAAGATACGAAAAGTATAAATGTAATGGTTATTATATTACTTAAATTAATTACTATGGATGAGTATTATAAGTATACAAAATACTCTTCATGACCAGATGGTGAAAAACACAGTTAATGACATGAATGCTCCCATGACTAATTACAAGATTGTTGTAAAACCTTAAAAACCTTTAAAAAAAATCAACCAAACATTAAATTGCTTAGGCGAGACCTTTTTTTTTGTTTAGCGAACCTGCTGCCCGCCAATAATGATGAAATAGCATAAAAATAAAATTACAGTATATTTTTGGCCAATTAGCCCACCCGCCGCCACACAAAAATGAAAATTTTAGAAAATAAAAATAAAAGTTTATCTTTTTTTTTATTACGCCCGCCGCTGCCTTGAATTTTCGAAAAATAAGATATGTAATTTCTTCCTAATTAAATTTAAAGCATTTAAACATTTGCTAAATAAGAAAACAAAATTTTATTTTTATTTCTTTTTCCACCCTCCTCTGACGATCTTTAAAAAATAAGTTCGCGAAACAAGGTATAAAAAAGTCTGGCCTTATTTAAATAGAATCACACAATTTATAGCTTTCAATTTTTGATGTAATTTAAAGTTATGAATCATGTTTCAGTAATTTACTACTATCACATTACTAATTTTATTTACACTTCACAAATAAAATCTCAAGGTATAATATTCACTGTGACTTTAAAAGTCCCCAAAAATACATTTCTATATATAATATACGAAATTGTAAATTTAAAGTTGATCGTAAAAGTTCCAAAGAGACACAGATCGGAATATTCAATGTTCGCATTTACTGACTTTTTACTACAAACCCTGAATGCATTGTCAGCTAGGGTTTATGCAATGAGTGTAGAAACGGTATGTGTCTGCTGATTGTCAAGATAGTGTCAATTAGCAGTGTAGGCCTACAAAGTTATATATGATAGTTCAAATTTACTGAACATGATACAATATATATCTCAGTAGGCCCTATTATAGAGAAAAGTGTGATAAAAGTAGCTCTCACAAATGGCTTGACAGCGGAGAGTTAGTGAATAGTATCAAAAACAGTTTCCTTTTATCTTAGTGCTCTATAATAGTATCTTTCCAGCATTTAATCAAAGGAAATCTTAATTTACTTCAAATTATTATTACTACATCAATTCAATTGTATGTATACAAATTATATATATATGTGGTCATATAGGTTCACGTGTTCAAATAGTAAACAAAATATTATTTTGATGCGTTGAGTTAAACATTTCATGAATATTTTAAAACTAAATCGATAATATGACCTCTTATTTGCACAATGTTTTCCATCATCACATATTACTATGAAATCTATATTTTTCATTATTCTCCTGACTGCTTAAACTTGTGGATTCAATCTGGTCAAACTTTCATTGCAAAGAAGAGATTAACAACTTCAGACATTGCTACATGGATTAAACGTCTTCTATATCTGTCAAATTAAATAAAAGCTTATTAGTAATTCCAGAATATTAGAATAAAAGTACAGAATAGACTACACAAATTCGAACAATAAATAATTATTAGGAGAGCAGTCATAAAATGGAATAGATTAACTTGTTTGAATAGAGCCCCTTTTTTTGCTCAAAATCTCAATATCTGTACTGCATAACAAAAGAAATTTAACTTTTAAAAAAATGATATAATACCCCCAAAGTAAACCAGAACATAGAGAGCAATGATAACACAAAAACGTAGCAAATGTTGCTCATTTGTAATGGGATTGCTAAACAAAAAACTATATGGTAAAAACAAATGATATCAGAAACGAAAGGGACTAACAAGAAAGACAACAAATCTAAAATGGGTAAACCTATGACAAGTATGAAGACTAAAAAGTGAAATAAAATAAATAAAAATTAGAGTCAGGCTCCAGAGGAAAAATATTTTATATATGCTGTACAACTGATTTCAAAACTGGGGGAAAGGGGGCGAAACCACCTGCCCCTCCCAATTCCCAAGATTTTCGTCAAATACCGTATTCTTATTGTGTTTTAGAAACATCAGTTGTACAACATATGAACATTTTTTTCCTCCGGAGCCTGACATTAAGAAGGTAACAGCCTTAAATAATACCGTACTGCATGAATTAGAAGGGCCCAGGTATGAGAAGCAAACAGTATCGTAATATTAACACAATAATTTTTTCCAATCATAAATGGCATAATTAACAATCAGTATCATCAAAGGGTTAAGATTAAAATATAGAATATTTTTCCATTGAAAAGATAAAAGCCTTTAATAATACTGCATGAATTAGAAGGGCCCAGGTATGAGAAGCAAACAATATCGTAGTATTAATACAATCATTTTTTGCAATCATAAATGGCATAATTTTAACAATCAGTACCATCAAAAGGGTTAAGATTAAAATATAAAATGTTTTTCCATGTTCTGGAAACAATATTATTGTGTTCATAATAATAAACATTGCCACTAAATGTGTGCTGTTTGTACATAAAATTACCTTTAGTGTCTTTGGCTACGTGAAAATGCTTCTTTGAAGTGTGGTCTTCCAAAGTCGATGGCATTTTGAATGTACTGCTCATTGGTGATCCTACTGATGACAAATAATTTCTTATTTTTACATTATTTATGTATTTAGGCCCAACACATGTACCAAGGATTGTTAATAGCGAATATATTTGTGTCCTACTTGTAGGTGACAATCTCTTCCACACGACAAACGTAGACACACAAAGCTGTTACACAAACTAGGCCTGTATCTGAATATGATGTTTAGGGAGGGAAGATTTGTTTTGTTCGTGAGAAAAAACAAAACCCACAATACTGACAGGAATGGAATCCCAGGACCTTGGGATCGGAAGGCAAGCATTTTAACCACTCATATTCTTGTATATATATGAAAAAAAAATCGCTTTTTTTCATTTGATGGTTCTTGCTACTGATTTTCAGTAATTAAGGATGACTGCTGTGCTCATTTAATGTATATTGTATAATATAATACCCCAAAGTAAACTAGAAAATAGAGGGCAATGATAACACAAAAATGTAGCAAATGTTGCTCATTTGTAATGGGATTGCTGAACAAAAAACTATATGGTAAAACAAAAGATACCAGAAACAAAACTGACTAACAGGAAAAGATAACAAATTTAAAATGGGTAAACCTATGACAAGTATGAAGGCTAAAAAGTTAAATAAAAAATATTTAAAGCCAGACTCCGGAGGAAAAACATTTTTTATATGTTGTAAAATTGGCATAATTAAAAATCAGTACCATCACGATTTTTCCATGATCTAAAAACAATATCATTATGTTCATAATAATAAAAATTGCCACTAAATGTTTGCAATTTACACATAAAAATACCTTTCTTGTATTTGGCTCCTTGAAAATGCTTCTTTGGAATGTGTGCTTTTGATTTAGATTTTATTGAAAGTAGGTTTAACATCAACTGACGTTTAACTTCAGATCGTCGTACTGCAACCAAAACATCCAATTACCCTTACCAATTTAAAACATAATCGTAAAATAGAACTTTTATAGCTCCATGATTGTACTAATGAATAATATTTTTTTTATAAATATTGTTCCCTATTGGAAATAAGTGGTTTTAAACAACTTTATGGGTTTTTACTTTATTTACTTATTTATTTAGGCTCACAACACATGTACCAAGGATTGCTAATAGCAAATATATCAGTGTCCTACACAACAAACATAGACACACGAAGCTTTACACAAACTAAATCTCAATATGATGTTTAGGGAATGGAGTTGTTTTGGTTTCTGACGGCAATTGAACCCAGGACAAGCTGGATTATCCTTGTATATAAAAAAAAAAAATTAAAAAAAAATCGCCCTTTTTCATTTGCTGCTTCATGCTATTGATTTTCAGTAATTAAGGATGATTGCTGTGTTCGTTTAATGTATATTTTAAAATTACATGTTCAAATGATGCTGTTGTACACCAATAATAAAATTCAATTCAAAATCAAATGCGTCTATTCATAATAATAAGCAATGTTACTGACTGATTACATTTTGTACAGAAAACATTACTGTTGTGTCCGAACCACAAGGTTTGATGTTTAGCGAACCGCAAGGTTCGATGTTTTGCTCCCTGTGAGCGCTTGCTGTTTTTATTGGCATTAAATGGTTACCTTGAAAGTTTACCTACAGTACGTCTTATCATTCCTCATTTACGTCAATCTAAGAGTGACAAATACGTCAACACTGGAAAGGAACACAGTGACACCAACACTGCGAGAAACAATGACAGATCATGATGATGATAAAGTAATAACAAAGGAGCACCGTTATCCCTTAAGGAAAATTAAACCACCTACTAGACTTGATCTATAGAACACTGTTACAATGAGTTACAATGTTTGGACAGTTAAAAGTTAAGGGGGAGGGATGTTGTGTCCGAACCACAAG